AAAAAAAAAAAAGAAAATGAGCCCATAGGATTTTCTAATCGGGACAGAAAGCGCTTCCCATTTCAAGGAGAAAGGGGTGTGAAGCATGATTTCATTTCTATGACAATTATTTCCACATGGATACAGACATAGAACAAAGCGCAGAGAGAAAAACCCCAGAATGTTAGCAGTGATTATCTCTCAGGAGTATGATTATGGGTAATTTTCCTGCCTTTATACTTTTCTGTTTTGCCAGAATTTTGCCCATCCAGCTTGTATTATTTTATAATAATAAAGAAGCAGAGCTATTTCCATTTTGATAAAAAAGGAATATCAACTATAATTCTGCTTTTGAAGGCAAAAAAAGTATATATGTGCAGAGCACAGAGGCCAGGAGATCTACCCCAGGCTAATGGCAGGTCTCTCGGAGAGGAGGGGATGACAGAGGATCCTGCTGCCATCAGAGGTCACACTCTTTATAATCAGGAAAAGGGTGGGAGATGTTATTTTGGTAAAGACTCAGCCAAGGGTAGGAAATCAGAGTGCTCCTGGGTTGGAGGCAGGCCCTGCAGCGCAGAGGGGTGATCTGTAAGTGAGACAAGGGATGCAGGGTCAGGTGGGTGGGCGGGCAGCAGGCCAGGGGGCGGTACCTGTGTTGTCAGGCATGGAGGCTTGATCGGTGTTCCGCTCTCTCTTCAGAACAATGTTGCCAAAATGGAGAACGGCTGAGACTGTCCGCAGCATGGCTAAGGGGCGGCAGAGAGAGAGAGATCATGTATGGCTTCGGACCCGTGCGTGGTCTTAACCAGCCCTGTAGAAATCTAGCTTCGAAACCCTCTGTCAAATTACACCACCACCCTCTGCTTAAAATCCACCTGTGACCCTGGGCCGGCCTGAAAACATATGAATGGATAAATGAATCCTGTATCTTGTTTTTGAGGGTCGCTTTATCCCCATTCAGTGTCCACTCACATTGTCCATTTTATAAAGTGATGCAGATGAGATTTAAAGGAACTTAGGGAAATGAATGAAGAGGGTCTTTAGAGATATAGAAAGTTTTCTAAAATATCAAGTGAAAAATGGGATGTACATAATGGTATATATGTATGGCACATGGCTCTGTATTGTAAAAAAGGTACAAAATATAAAGTACAGTCGGTTCTCCTTATTTGCGGTAATGTTCTCTTACAGGGTCGCTGCGAATACTGACAGTGATTGCAAACTCACGCTCCTTTGGTTCCTCTGAGCCTCTGGTCACGTGTTCATCAACTGATGAATACGTCACCTTGTTTTATGTGTGTTTCTGTTTAAAGACACCTTCTTAATATATATTGCTGCTTCCTTCACATGGAACTCATGGCCAACAGCACCATAATTCGTGACAGAAGGAAGCTTGTGTAACACACGTATTTTCTCCATGAGCCACATTACAGCCTCCCTGCACTTAGGGACACTAGACAGCATTAAGCACTAGGCTTGGAAGGCATTTTAGACAGTAAAACCGCCAACAAAAATAGCACAAAAACACAAAATATGTGGCACTAGTAGACGCAAAAAGGACACTGGTTTACAGTTTGTGCTGAAGCAAGAAGCAAGAAGCAGAGCACCATCTCGTTGGATCTCATTGAGTGTCCACCCCTCTATGAATAATCACAATGACCACAAATGCACCAGGAGTATTGGTTGGTTTGGGGGTCACGAATAAATGCAGTGTGTAGGGGAATTCACAAATGTAGAAACTGCAAATGAGGATGTCCAGTGCATATGGTCTCCAACTTATGATGGTTTGAATTATGATTTTTTTCAACTTCACAATAGTACAAAAGCCATACACATTCAGTAGAAACGGTACTTCAAATTTTGAATTTTGATCATTTCCCAGGATAATGATGTGCAGGATGATACTCTCTCATGATGCTGGGCAGCGGCTGTGAGCCTCAGCTCCCAGCCACGTGATCAAGAGGGTAAACAGCTGACACTCCACCGTGTACTGTGTTGCCAGCGTTTTTTGGGTACTGCGTTTTGTTTTCTCATCCTTTCATGACTACAAAACACCCATCTGTGTCTCCTGTTCTGGTGAGAAGGGGAGAGTAATGACTCTTGAGATGGAACTCAAGATAATTGCCCAGCATGAAGGACACAGCCATAATTACATAAATTACATGAGGTATTCAACACATATTATAGAATAGGCTTTGTGTGAGATGATTTTGCCCAACTGTAGGCTAATGTAAGTGTTCTGAGCATGTTTAAGGTAGGCTAGATTAAGCTTTGGTGTTCAGTAGGTTAGGTGTATTAAATTCATTTTTCACTTATGATATTTTCAACTTACAATGGGCTTATCGGATCGTAACCTTAGGTAAGTTGAGAAGCATCTGCATTTGCTTGTCTGTGCAGAGCTGCCACAAAACACATGGTAAGTGGGCAATGCTGCCCTCTAGAGTATCAGCAATTTGTAGGGTTTGGTTGGCATGATGATGGGGGCCACTGAAGCAATGTGTGGGGTGTTTCTGATGTCATAGAGAGCGGGCCCATGAGGACCGGAAGCAGACACCCTTCTGTACCACAAAGAATTGCCCACATCTCCTGTAACTTCTAAACGATCCACTGGACATTCACATTAATGAATGGCAAATAATGGTTTGTAATGATCTGAGACTAATCTTGTTTTTTGTATAAACACAAAAGTGTTTCGTTTTAATACACAGTAAAATTTCCAGAAGGGGAGCCGCTGTTGTTTGTTCAGAATTTTATCAAGATTTGGTCAGCATTTTAGAACATGCTGGCCTAAGACAGCAAAGCTGCATGTGGCACTTAAGTGACCATATGACACTCTACATCAGACAGGATTTGTACCTGCTGTGTTTATGGTAATGTTACAGATCAGGGCAAGCACCCAGCTACCTCACCAACTGTTAGTTCTAGAACAGTTTTCATGATTTACGGACTGAAATGGACACTGGTTTTGTTTTTTCACTTACTCCATGCCAGGTCCTATTCCAAACACTTACAAAAGAACTCATTTAACCTTCATTACAACTCAATGAGGCAAGTCCTGCAATAGCATTTTTACAGATGGTAAACTGAATAAAATCCCCATTTGCCGGATGGGGAAACCAAGGCACATTTTGGTCCTCAACTTGCCTAAGATCATCCGCACAGACCTGAGATTCAAACCCGAGCGGCCTGACTCTGGGATCTGTATTCTTAATGGCTATGCTTCCCTTTTCCTCCCTCTTTAAGCGTAAAATTTGAATGTAAATACGTACATATAGCACACATACAGAAAAGCACACAAATCTTACTACGTCCTGCTCAATGAGTCTGCAAAGTGAACGCACCCAGGGAGCCAGGCCCTCGGCCGCCCCCTGCTGGCCACTCACTGAACATGGACGAATTTCACAATCGAGTTCAGTAGAAGAAGCCAGACACGAAAGTGCGGGAACTGTATGAGTTTGTTTGTACCAAATTCAAGAACAGGTGACACAAGTGCATGCTGTTAGGCACCGGAATAATGGTTACATTCAGGGGGTGCTGGTGATGGGAAGGAGTAAGAGGGGGCTTCAGGGTACTGGTTATGCCGGCATTCACTTGCGGAAATCCCGAACTGGATGCTTACCATCCGTGCGCACTTGTTGGGGTGTATGCTACGCTTCTACGCAGCTTACTTAGAAAAAGGGGGTGGTGGAGAGTGGAGGGAGGAGTAGACTCCTGGGATATTCCTGCCAAAAATGTGTAATCTGAGTCTAATCGCGAGGAAACACACCCAAATTTGAGACAAAACAACTGGTCTGTAATCTACAAAAGTGTCAAGGTCATGAACGATAAAGACACAGGAAAGGTTCCAGAT